CCAAGACTCCAAGGCAATTTGCACACTAGATAAATTTTTTTCCCTTCAAAAATTAATTTCAAGTTTTAATTCAAAAATCTAATTCGGCATTAAAAGGAATATGCAAATTGCAATTTTGTGGATCATTTTCGCCGGTCAGAATTAGATTTTTCTAGCTTGGGATAGAGAGAAGGGCCCACTTTGTACATGCCAAAGTGGCAAATTTATACGATTCTAGTGTTAAATTTTGATGCTTTGCCATCTGAGAATCAAATAGGTTTTAATTTATTTTTTATACAAAAATAATTAAATTTGAAATAACTATAAATATATTGAATATTTATTATTTTTTAAGAAATATTAATTATATTTTAATATCATTTCATATTCTACAAGTGGCTTATAAGTCATGATTTTTTTCCCAATATATCTCTTTTCCTATGTCTTTCTTTTAAAATAATAAAAAATTACTAATTTAAATTATAAATCTATTTTCAAAGCTAATAATTTTTTAAATTCATCATGAAATTTTTATGTATAATATATCAAATTAATCATCTCTGGATGAACTATGATTTGACATCTATCTTATACAAAATAAATAAAAAATATATTTACCTTTATAATAAAATTTAAATTATCTATTAATATTATTTAAAAATAATAATAATTATTTTAATTAAATGTTCGTTTATAATAAGTTAAACATGATCATAATATAAGATGCGTATGTGGTATAAGTGACAGATGTCATTTTAAATATAATAATAATATAATTTTTCTAAAAGGTTTTAACAATCACAGTGTAATTCACAGTGTAATTCATAGGTATTGAATCATAATATAGGATGCATATCAGCATATCTCGTATAAATGCCGGATGTCATTTTAAATATAATAAGGGTAAAGTCCACTTTTGGTCCTTCATGTTTAGGGGGTATCCAGACTGAGTCCCTATTATGTTTTGTTGCCCAATTTTAGTCCATAAAACAAAAAAATGAGTCCCTATTATGTTTTGGCGCCCAATTTTAGTCCTTAAAACAAAAAAATGTAGTCCCTATAATAGGGAAAAATCCACTTTTAGTCCTTCATGTTTAGGGATATCCAGACTTAATCCCTATTATGTTTTGATGCCCAATTTTAGTCCATAAAACAAAAAAATGTAGTCCATTTACCTCAATTTCTGTGAATTAACGGTCCATTTTTGCTCGACTGTGATGTTCTTTATTTTTTTAAAATTTGTTGATTAATGTCAACTTTGACCAAAGAAAAATAAAAGAAAATTTAAATGCTGAAAATATATTAATCAAAAATTAAACTAAAACAAGAAATTGCACCAAATTAAATTAAAATTTTTGCTCGTCCGATTTCTATTTCCCTAGCATTCGCGCTGCGGAGCAAGCCTGGAATCACAGCTACTGCTCTTGCACCCATTTCCGGGTCATGCCATCGAAAAAAATTGCACCTATCAACCCTCTGTTTTTTAACCATTTCTTATCATATTCCAATTGAAGTTCACAGAAAGTACTTACAGGATATAGAGGGCAACTCAAGAATCTTCTCCCGGGATTATCATCCTTCCAGCATGTAGTCAACTTTGCAACCAGCTCACATCTACAAAATACCACACCATTTCCATCCATTTGATCGGATTTAGTCTCTAGGCGGTCAGGTTTTTTTTTTCTACGTTTCACTGCAGTTCACCATTTCTGCCTTTTATTTTACCTTTTTTCAGCATTTAAATTTTCTTTTATTTTTCTTTGGTCAAAGTTGACATTAGTCAACAAATTTTAAAAAAATAAAGAACATAACGTCGAGCAAAAATGGACCGTTAATTCACATAAATTGAGGTAAAGGGACTACATTTTTTTGTTTTAAGGACTAAAATTGGGCATCAAAACATAATAGGGATTAAGTCTGGATACTCTTAAACATGGAGGACTAAAAGTGGATTTTTCCCTATTATAGGGACTACATTTTTTTGTTTTAAGGACTAAAATTGGACACCAAAACATAATAGGGACTCAGTCTGGATACCCCCTAAACATGGAGGACCAAAAGTGGACTTTCCCCATATAATAATAATATAGTTTTTTAAAAAGGTTTTAACAATCAGAGTGTAATTCATAGGTATTGTATAATAATATGGCGGTAAAGGATCTAAAATACCGCATGGCACATGGGAAGATATATTAATGTGGATAAGGAACTTGTACCGAAAAAAAAAATTGTGGATAAGGAACCCTTTTCCCTGTAAATCCACGAGATTGGGGGACCTATTTGGCAAATTATTCCGTAGTTCAGGCCTAAGATGCAAAAGAATTCCTCACATTCAAGGTAAGCTTTGTCCAATCAGTTTATCTTGTTTGGTCTATATTATGTAAAGTTATATATAACCTTTCATGGTTACGTTTACATATTACAATTACTAACTATTAAAAGCTCCAAAAAAACGAGGTTTTTAGCCAAGAGTTTATGTGTCCTCAAACATCATCCAAATTCCAGAATGGACCCGAGGGATTTGTTATAAGGATTTTAATGTATAAAACATTGTGTTGTGTAGATGCGATTATGGATCCATATGCATTGTGAATAGACAACATGCCTCTATGACGGACAAGATTTCCTTAGACGTCAAGTGAGTGAGGAACCTTTTTTGGACAAATCAAGGGCAAGTGCACTGTATGTACAACTCGTGCTTTTACGGAAGTTGTAATCAAATGTTTGTGTCAAATGGTAAAACAAGAATACAATAGACAAAAAGGAATTAAAAATTCCTTGGAATAACTTCCCAAACTATAACGTGAAGAATGGATCACTTGCCGGGTATTATTTTCCATTTACCTACGAATATTGTTACAACCATATAGTAACAGTTCTTTCTCAAAGAAATGATAAGTGTCCATACAAGTCCAGTTACATTTTAACTCTAGTAACTGAGTACGCTCAACAGTTACAATTAGCAACTCCGGCATCAACTAATACACATGACGATTTTTATAACTACAAAATACAAACGAATGAACACCACAGGGCATCAGAAATACTACCCTGAATTCTTCATTTCCCAAATTTTTCAACATCATTGAATTGATGAATTGGATTAATATCACATGGAAAAACGCAAAATTTCAAGAATGGCCAAAAGAACTTAACTTGCCTCGACCCTTTTAGCAGCCCTCAATGATGTGAACTGAACTTCCCCTGTCCCTTCTAACTCTGTTCACCATCACTCGCTTAGTTTGCAGTTGCGTATGTACGGGTGGTTGTATTTTATGTATTTTGTCCAATACGACTTGTACTTGTTCATTGCCAGCTCAAGCCAGGGCTTCATATTCCCATTGTAGTGTATAACTGCTGCATTATCGATTTCTGAACGGTCGACACTTGGGTTGTAACCCAGACCAAGTACGTGCCATGACTTCTCGAGTGGATGTGTGAGCCCGTAAAAGGTTATTAGTCCTGGAGGTAGTGTTCCTAGTTTCCAGAGCACCCTATCTTCATTCTAATACCAACAACAAATGCAAACAAACGAAGAAGGATTAAATAAATACTTTTGCCTTTCTTATTAGTAATGATAAGGAAGTATTTCAGTAAGGAGATTATTGTATGAGTAGCTACTTCATTATCACATGAAATAAGCAATCACTTTTCCTGTATTTTCCCCTTTACAATGATGTTCACTAATTTGGCAAACTCACCCATCATGTACCCGAATCAAGAAAATAAATGAATAAGCATATACATCTATAGAGTGTCCACAAAAATATGATTCCAATATTTCATAAATCTCTCTACATAAATAAAGAAACATACCATGTTTTGCCATTTGTGGTATATGCCAGTTATATCCCTCTTTTTCCACTCCTTGAGATCAAACATGTTCATCCCGTATGCCCATCCGCAAGCATTCGGGTCGAAGTTTTTAGCAATGTGAGGATTTGAGAAGTTTAGATATTTATCAAAGCGGTGAAAGCTCTCACCACAGGTTTCGACTGCACCATTAACTTTCCCATTGAGATCAACTGACCATAGCCCAGTCAAATCTTTCTGAACAACAATGTCGTCATCTAGGAAAAGAATCTTATCCAGTTTCGGATAAACCTGAGGGAGATAAAACCTCAGATGGTTGAGCATTGAAAGATACTTTGGGTTCCTGTACTTGAGATTAGATGAGCCGGCAGAAAGCGTTGTTGGATGAGCCGACTTAAAATAGTATTCTTTCATGGCAGCAGATTCCAGCTGGCGTAGAACTGGACAGTAGGATGAGTTGAGCCACTTGAACTCATCAACATTCTCGACATGGATTGTGGCTTTACCAGGAGGGTTCAAAAGAAACCACATATTCATTGCGCCAAAATTCAACTTATCAGTAACAAGATGGAAAACATGTTTCTCAGGATCCTGCAAGTCATAAAAAACAGAGTGTCACAGGAGAAATCATTAACATTGCATAAGCGGCTAAGGTGACACACATGACCCTTACAATAAAACAAGAAGAATGCGCAAACAAAAATGAATTTATATATATTCATGCGCAAACAATCAATTAAATGGTGTGCAATCGTGAGAATGCACACACAGCCGCACACGAATATATGTTTGAAAGAGATCCTGGTTCCACAATTTAAAGATCACTTGACATATACAAGTACTGATTATGATGTGCGATCATGCATACTAACTACACCCCTTAGGAGAAAAATATTGGAATATAAGGCTGTAGCATATACTTATGGCTGTCTGTGTCCCTGTGGTGCTTCTATACACGCACTTGAATATTGAGTAATTCCACAGATGATCAAACTTCAAACTATTTGATATTCATTATTCACACCACATGGGCAAGTAATCACAAACCAAAAGCATGGATCCACAACATCTCAAAAAGGACTTCACGTGAAACGCATCACGCAAATTGAAAATTCCAACAACAACAAAAAAAAATCAAATAATTTTACAGTTCTGCTTAATAAAATTTCTCCCTCACTAATTCAAGCATCACAGGAAAGAACAAACTGAAATGCATAACCTGATTGTACAACAATGAAAGCAAATGGGAAGAATTCCACACCTTGGCATTCATAATGGTTGAGTTGACCACTACTGAAGCAGCAAGAACATTGTCAGAAAAGAGGGCATAGTGGTAAAGGTTTGGATTTTCCAGATTCTCGCTCTGAGGAAACTTTCTTTTCTCGAGTGGAAGGAGGTAATAGTCTATTGTTAAGCGCATTGCTAAACAGTGGAGCCCATTTGGGATCGTCTTTGCAGCTAGTTGGCTAAGGAATGTGCTCTGCTTTTTCAGACTCCTAACTTGCTCATCTGCAGATTGCAGCATGGCTCTTAGCTTCCCGGTGACCAGGTTGCAGTCATATAATTGCTCTTTTGCTTTAGACAGCACTTGGCCCATCAATTTAATTTTTTCAGGTGCGCTGTCATTGAGTATGTTCAAAATTTAAGCAATCTATTTTATGACAGTACTGAATATGATCAACATGGATAATGTTATATATTCATTACCTCTGATGTAAATCAGAATCAGCAGTTGCCTCCCCTAAAGACCGCTGGCTTTCTTTAATCCGGTTCTGCAATTCATTGGCCAAATCAAGCTTGTTTTTCATCCTTGCAAGACTTATATACACCCTTGCCATAATCACTTGATCTCGTATCAGGCGGACATTTGAATCAGAGTTTTCATTCTCATTTTCTTTCCTCCAGATGCTATACTTTCCCAAAACTGCCGAGTCAACTGATTTAGAACGTTCAATAGCTGCATTTTCAAGCTTTACTATCACTTCATCATCTTGCTTTACCAAATCAGCAGCGCGCTTTTCACGTCTGTGTTCTCTCAATTGCTGCAGAATGACCAAATAAATAATGATATAGCTTCATTATATCCAATAAATTTTGGATCATGGCAGAATACTGGTGAAAGTAAAATCTCAGAAGAAAGTAAGATCTCACTAAAGAGAAAAGAAGAGAAGTATCCATATTGCAAAAATTATGTCAGTGAGACGTGCACAGATAAATTCTGGTACTTACCCTTCTGACCAGCTTAGCTGGTGTCTCAAAAAATACAGAATGATCCTCTGCGTATAATGAATAGGCGTGTCAAATTTATATTCAAATGTAATAAAGCCAACATAATACCAGCCTAATACTAAAAAGATATTACCATTGGAAGTGACGTCCTCTTTGACTCTAGATGCTTCTTGCTTCTTTTTCGAAGGTGCTCCAGTGGCCTTAAAAAAATAAAATAAAGCTTAGAAAATATCAAATGATAAAACAGTTTGTCTACTAATAAATAGTAACATTAAATACGTCCTCATTGTCATGCGCACCTCAGAATAATTGACGTTAATAGATACAGATTCATGCCCAACAATTTTCCAAGATGCAGGAAAACCATTTTTTCGGAAAAAATCGACATTTAAAGGTCCCAGATCATCTGTGCTGGCATTAATGACATCAATCACCTAAACGAATATGCATATTAGTGAAAAGTACAACTAAGATTAAGCATATTCCCAAAAATTTCACATATGCTTGTCAAAGCACTTACCTCTTTAGAGAATAAAGATTTAAGATATCGCAATGCCAGCCTCTCTCTCCAATTTAGATCCTGTATATTAAACAGTTCTTTCAAGTTATGCCACACACCCTAAAATAATTGCCAAAATGAAATATGTATCACAAAATTTTACCTGTCTGCTAGAAATAATTGATAATTCATCTTGACCTGAAGAAATATTAGTTGACACTTAAAAGTCAAGTTCAAAACAAAAAAATAATATCAAAGTCAGAAGTAAGCATAACAATGCCTGCTCATATAGTAATTCGATGTGCGAACATAAGTTCATATATGGATCTGCTACCAGAAGAGGACAAACAATTAACCATTAAAGTGTCGTTACGTTCATAAAGAGAATAACAAGGTTGAGAAACTGTTCAAGTGACTCAAACAACATGGTCTCCAACCAAACAATCCCCAATGAGCCCCATTCTCCAACCCCCCCACAGGTAATTGTCACTAATGTCCTAGTGAATGCTCTGAACGTCCTCCAATTGTCCCAGGACAATGACCAGTAGATTCTCTAAACCTGGTCTTCCACAATAGTTGCCCACCTTACTAACAAAATTCACCTCCTATGCAGACCATGTCTGCATATAACGCCTTCTCCACTTTGCCCAATGAGATCATTTTCTAATCAAAACTCACCTTTTCTGAAGCAGCATAGTTCCTAACTAACAGGAAAGTATAAACACGATATTCAATATAAGAGGAACATGGATTCAAAAGTCCGTATGAAAGGGATCACCTAGTTTTTCACTGAAGGAAGCTAACTCAAGACGGAGACCCAAGTACAAGATACCTGACTAGAGAGAACTTTGCCAAGTACACTTAAATGAATCGACCATTTTCATTTTACTGCTCAGAACTCAGAGGATTTTTAATAATTGAAAATAGCTAACTTGAAACTTTATTCCACCTAACCATCAACCATCCTAAACCTCCAAAAACCGACCTCAAATTTGAGTAGAGATTATCACATAGTTAACTGCAATTGAAGCAAATATGCATTTCAATGCAACGTATTAATGCTTCAAAGCTTGAACAACCAAGTCAGCTAGTGGTTCCATCAGCTTAGTATTAATAACTTCCGAACTTTGAAAAAACAAATTTTCACTTTGATGACCAATAAGAAAACAGCATGTGGAGTATGTCGCATGAGCATTTAGTTGCTGACGTTATCCCTTTCTTCCAATAAGCACCATTCAAGAGACAAAGAAGCATCCATTGAAAACGAAAGCGCCTTTCTCAAGATTCATAATCACCTCGCATCATCTACTCATTATAAATGACTCTCAGACTGGATTTTCCAGGACTTATGATCTAAATCTAATTATAATAACAATACAAAGAAAGCTCCAAATTTCAATAAATCCTACATTCAACGCTCAAAACCCACAAACTCCGAGTTCGTAATCACATGATTCTTCATATGTCACAATCAATCAATTTCGGACTCCGGCTAAACACAAATTGCAGCACAAAAGAACAAACACACAAAACTACAAAAATTTCAAATTGAGAAAAAACCGACCGGAGGAAGCAGGAGGAGAGGGGCCGCGGCCAAAGAACAAAAAGGAGAACCCGATTAAAGAGAGCACGAAGACGATGAGGGCAATATGGAAGCGAGATCCGGAACCTTTGCTCCTGTTGATGCCGGAGCCAGATGATGATAATCCTCTCTTAATGGCCATATCCTGTCATAGAGCTTTGAAAAAAACCGCGAGTGTAGGTCCTGTGATTGTGCATTGATATCATATACAAGGATGATTTTACAGTTGGGGAGAGAGAAATAGGAAGGAGATGATGGATTACCAGTCACTCAAGACCATGATTTAGAGATTGATTGCGCAAATCTGAAATTATGCACCGACACGCGCATACGAGCGTGATATGCTCGGACCAAGGCATTTATATCAATATATCATCATTTGGTGTGTGTTTGTGTGTGAAAGAGATTGCGGTCTAGAGAAATTAGATATGATTAATTTAATTAATAAGCTTAATTGCCTATAAAAACTTCGATAAAAAATCTTACGTGACACGGAGGAGTCAGTCTTGTATGACAACTTAATTTTTCCATATCATATGCCAAGAAGATTTGAACCTTAAAATCTCAAAATCCAATAACCTAAACTTGAATCTAAAATTCAAGAAACCTAATTAATTTTTCCACTCTAAAGCTGTTTCCAATAGCGATCTTGCTCTTGGACTGCCTACGATTGTGCTCTTTGTCTGTTATTCGTACCAGATCTTCTACTACTTCAGTACTTTGCTTTCTCCTCCAACCTCACCCAGTGCAGGTCACTTACTCGTTTATAAATATTTACATATACTCCCCAGAATGTATCGGATATATTTGTTAAGGATACACAAACATGAAGACAGTTTTTGTAAATGTAGAAAAAAATAAATTGGAATTTGATTTAATTAGGCTAAACCTCAAATGAAATTGCACTATTGAAGTAATTATTCAATTAGGCTAAACCTCAAAGGAGTTCAAATTAGGGTTCTTTGATTTTGGGGTTCAAATTTAAGGTTCTTGGATTGTGGGGTTTGGAGGTTCAAATCTTATTGGCATATGATGTGGAAAAATTAGACTTCCATGCAAAATTACTCCGTGCCACGTAAGATTTTTAATCGGACACGTCAGTTCGACTTAGCCGGAAAATAATTCAGAGACAAATTTGCAACACATAATAATAGTTTGGTATTTATTTACAAAGATAAAAAAGTTAAGTTTTATTTGCAAATCTATAAAAGGTTGGGGTTTTATAAGCAATTAAGCCTAATTAATACGTACAACTTAAAAGAGCGATTTGGAAAATTGGTTCAGATATTTAGTTGTTTGAAATATGATTACTAGGTTAGAGGTGGGCTTGGCTCGTTTATAATACTTGGTGGGGCCGAAAATGTTGTAGTATGAAGGGCTTCTATGAGAGCATCTTTAATGATAAAGGTTTATAAACCTTACTTTTTATTAGTCATAGTTAAAGTATCTTCCTTTAGCATTTCTCTATAGGTCTTCCACGACTCTATACGTACCAACTTCTTTATCTCCTTCTGTTGCTTCTCGTACATACTCATAATTTGCCCAAATGCATCCAACATACGTTCTACTCTTTGATCAGTACTACTCCCTATGCCACTTTTTTCCTTTCTCTTTGCAGCCTTTGCTGCCTTCTGGCCGATGGTGCGACGCACGTATCTTTCATCACCAACATGCTCCACATCAGATCCAAAAGTGTGATCTCCTGACTCTGATGTCCTAGATTATTTTCCTCCACGAATTGCTCTACCAGTCCCTTGAAATTTTAGACTATTCCGCAGAATCTCCCAATAGTGAAGCCACTTGAAACCTCATTTTCTTTTCCCTTCACTATTCCACTCTGTTAATGCATTTTGTAATATAATAGCATCATTTTCACCACTCCTTTGGTCAGCCTGAAACCTGTTTATGGATGCATTAAATTTAAGGCAATCTGCATGAAAAGCATAGAAGTAAGATTTCGTTGAATCCATAGATCTCTTAAGCAAGTTTCTAACATGAGTTGTTTCATTATAATATTGAGTGATTCGCTTCCAGAAGCCTTCAGAATTTGTTGAGCACCGACGATAGAATCACTCGAGATATATCTTCCTCCTGTGTCCATGATATTGCCGACGCTTTCTCATGTCTTTTTGGCTCAGGTTCCTTATTTTCTTCTGACTCCGTATTAAGACAAATATTGTCAAGACCTTCAACCTCTAACCCCGTGGTAGCTCTTAGGGGATCTTGTGAGCCAGTAGGCCCAGTACTCATAACTGTTGGTATTAAATTACCATGTTGAAAAGGCATGCCAAGTGAATTTGGCATTCCATACTGAGATCCTATTGGCCACATATACTGAGACTGATTCATGTTAATCGCATTTTTTTGTTGAGGGTAGACATGATTTTCTAAAGTTTGGGATATAGGAAATGAGTGAATTGGTTGATATGGAAAATTTTGAAATTGGGATTGCATTTGCATTGTAGAAAATTGGCCAAAAACGGGATATATACTCCTACAATAGCGAGAATTTGCTGAAGACAAACTTTCGTCCTCAAAAGAGTTAGGCATATTAAAATTAGAAAAATTTGAGTTTCTATCCATTACCACTTCTACACCAAAATGAAGATGTATATTTTAGACTTAAACAAACCTACTCATGGTTTTATAGCCGGAAATTCATATATATGTGGACAATTGAAGATATCATACTATTATGATAAGATAAATGCAATAATGTAATACTACAATTTGTAATAGTGAAAGTTTAGTACGGGTGGGATCTCATGATAAGATAAATGCATGTGACCACACACTTCAAGATAGTGCATAGCTTTTCATTTTGAAGTGACAACACATGTTGACCAAGAATTTGTTTTGTAAATAAATATATAATATAAAAATTAAGGAAGTAATAGAAAAAATAAACTTTTATCTTCCAAATTATTAAAAGTGTAAAGAATATAAAAAAATATTACGCATTTTAAAATAGCAAAAAAAATGTAGTCATGAAAATTTTAATATTAGAATTTCATTTTCTATAAATAATAAAAATTAAAATAATTGCAATTCGTTCTTATTTCAAATATAGTATTACACATTTAACACCTCGTTTTTAATTATTTTTTTCGACAACAATTGAAATTCGTTCTTATTTAAAATAATTGCTTTCGTTTTTTTTTTCGGGTTGTCAAGTAATTATTTTTTAAATCGAACAATCTCGTTTTACTTTTTTATTTAACGAGTAATATTTGTTGAAGTTTGTTCTTCTTCAAAAATACCTCGTTTTCAAATTTTAATTAACGTATAAAACTCAATTCATTACTTTAGATTAAATATTATTATATTTCATAGTTTTTTTATTAATTACTCTTTCTAATAATAATAAATGTGAGTAAAATTAGACAAGAAAAATAATTAATTTTCACAAACACAATTTTTGCTATTTTTAATAGAAATTAATTTTAATTTCTTCTTTAATATTAATATCAATTAAAAAACAAAACACTTTTATTTTACTACAAAACAATTGAAGCAACCTATTAATTACAAATATAAATTTATGAAGGAAAAAATAATTAGTTAAAATGCAATTACAAACATGTGAAGAAAAACAAAATAAATCAAGTGGACAAAAAAGTTGGGTACGCTCACTCAACAGAGAGGATTGCTACATTCACTCACTATCACCAAGGAAACTATTCCCCGCTCATATGGACGGACCCTTTGCTTTAGTCCTTCATAAATATGTGAAGCAAAGTTGCTCACGTGCTCTACTCATTTCTTAATTGCGCAAGCAAGACTTATTATTTAGATTGCAATGTGTCTTTCACTCCTCCATTAATATAGATGTCAAATATTATCTCGTTAAGATGTAATTAATTTTATATATTACATATGAAAAACTTATAACAAATACAAAAAATATAATGTTTTAGTATATATTTATAATTTAACTTGGTTAAATGTTTATGCAAGCGTACGTTATAGTTATGAATACAAGTCCAATTCTACTCCTAAACACAAAAAAATTGACACAAGGTTACTTAACACATAAATTCAGCCCATAGAATTACAAAACAATATTACTTAACACATAAATTCAACCCGTAGAATTACAAAACACCAAAAGTTGAGAGGCTCGGGAAACTTTGCATTTACATATAGGAAAGGAATTAAAATTTGCATTTAACTAAACACGTTGATTAATTTAAGACATTCAAAAGTGGAGCTGGCAAATCCTTCAACCTCACACATCCGAGTGAACTGAAAATTCTCAAACCACAGAATCCAAAGTCTTCCAAAGAGAACAACTATCTTGCGCATTAGTAAAATAGTTTGGCCAGAATACACAACATCATCCAGGCAAAAGTAACGTGACAAATCATTCACATACACGAGCAATTTTTGGTCATATCGGCCCATTGCCAAAGATCACAGTAAAAAGNAAAAAAAAAAAAAAAAAAAGACATTGGTTAAAGTCACTACACGAATGCTCGTTAATCATCCAAGGGACTCCAACAAGGACTACTGGTTTAGGATCGCCACATCCAAGTAATCACCTATCTGCGAATTCGAGGAAGAAGTTACGATATATATTGGATCAATAATAGTTAATAACAAAAGGTCCCTAATGTTTTATAGCCTAATTAGCACCAAAATAGAAGAAAAGGGACCGATTATCTTTCATAATTAAAAATTACACAAGATTTGTTTGTGCCCAATAGAAGTGCATCCTGAAGAGGGAGAGAGGGGGTATATACAAGATAAATACAAAAGCTTAAGAGAGGATCCTGTAACCAAACAATGTTTGCAACTAGAATGAACCAACATTTATTATTATTATTTTTTTTTTCCGTAACGATAGAATTTATACAAAGTTACCTGAAAACTAAGATCACCCAAGGCTTTGTTTCCACTATCAGGTCGCCTTGCGTTAGGGTAAGAAAATGCTCTCCCCACCTTTGAGAGAGAAATGGAAAATAGTAAGAAGTATCATTCATTTTGCTGTTGCAATAACGCAGATAATATTTGACTATTGATTTATGCATATATAGAATGCTTTTATGTGTAAATGCCCAAGACTTCTCACTGCAACTCTAATTTCAAAGGAACGCTTCCCAACAGAAAATAAATTGCCATCTAGAAAACCAGGAAGGATACATAAACCTATGATTATATTATGCATATGCGCAATTGCACAAGTGCCAGTGGATAATAGCACTGACCTCCCTAACCACAAACCGACCACGTTTATCGGGATAAACAAAAGCAAAAGACAGAACAGCATCTCTTCTTCTTGCTTCTGGAGCTACTTCTTTAACCTGGCAAAAAGAAGCATAACATCACTATGATCAGAAAACGCAGAAATAAAGATGGTTGAGGATGGGTGGAATCCACTGTGTTGCTTTCCATTACCTTTTACAACCACTCAGTAATTTAATATTGAGAGTTAGTCAAACGCACGTTTTACCCTTAAAATTATTGAAATGGCAGCTCGACAGATATGAAATTAGAATGTTTTAACTGGATGCATCCAGTTACTCCTTTAAACAGCAAAAAAGGTTACAGCATAGATACCAGTAGTTGAAGAACATATTACAGTTTTCATTTTTCCAATCATTCAAAAATGAAATTTGAGCCCTATTCGTCCATAAAAGACAAAAAATGCACAAGAGAGGAGAGATAATTGGAGCAAATTCTTTTACCAGATCAGTTAATTCACGTAAAGTAGCATCCATCCAGGTGTAAATTTGGACCTCATCTTTGGGTTCCTTGCCCCTCACAGCAAAATCATCATCAGCATGATGACCCCCCACCTGTGAAAACAAATTTGAAGAAATTCAAAGCATAGGCCAAAAAAAAAAAAAAAAAAAAAAAAATCNAAAAAAAAAAAAAAAAAAAAAATGTATCATCAACGCAACATAATCATGTCATTGAAAATAGAATACATACCTTGGTGAAAACACGAAGCAACAATGGGCAAGTCTGCATTAACCAACCGGTGTCAACAGAACATCATTATGCAGTAAAGTGCGATCCATGAGCGAACATTAATTTAAAGAAGTGTTGGGAAAAAGAGAATGATGAAAGAGTTCCATTAAATCATCACAAGAACCATATTTAAAACACTTAGAACCTATCGAATATATCTATAGAATATTACAAAAGTTAGTTTCTGAACAAAATATTGTGATGGACAGGTCAGCCATTTCAACATATATGCTGCTTATGAGACCATTAATATTGAGACAAGGCTATTTTAACATAAATATGTGACATAAACTTTGTCAGAAATGACGCCAGACATATTACCTGTTGATATTAAATATGATGTGACGTGTGAAATAATGAGAATGTGTCATATGTGTATTATATCAAAGTGTAAGTTAGCTTTTATGTTAGTGTAGCATTACCCATAATATTGGACATGCTTTCCTCTATTGATTTCTTAAACTAGTAGCGCAGAACATTAAAAAGAGATAAGATCTTATTTATTTTTTGTCCAAGATATATATATTTTTTTAAAAGGTCATTCCAAACCAAACTTTTTCCACTACATACACCAACATGAAAGATTGATAATTGGTCTGCTAGTCATTTAGCCGTAAACATTATTTCTACTTTCAATTAATTATACTGGTTTACAATGTGAGTGATATAATTTGAGAGATAGATTAACAACTCCCTTTGAATTCTACGCATTTACTCAAAAATTTACTTTGAGAGCTCCTGAAAGTTTAATTTAAAACTAGCTGCAACACTAAATGGACTCCACAGGAGCATTTAGGGACTCATATGAAATCCTCCACTTTAGAGTTTTCAATAGCTAATTGAGCAATTTCAAATATCTTTTTCAAAACGCCCAAAATATAACATTCATTTTTTTCTGAAAGAAAGTTGAGCACAACATTATGGATGCATTTTCTGATATCTAAGGTACATTACATTAATTTCCATAAACCCTAAAACCTAAACCTACTCGAAAAAAATTGCATCTTTTACAAAAATGCAGTGCTGACAGTGGATCAATTTGGCTTATAAACGTCCAGATGGGAACTATATAAAGACGCATAAAAGAATAGAAGCAATTTAGAATGGTATCAGAATAAACATATACATAGCGAGCGATATATATATAGAGAGAGAGAGAGAGAGAAACAAAAAGAACCTTCTCCCGGTCGACAGGCTCAATGCGAGGGGCAGGCCTGGCCGCGGGAGGAGGTGGCGGGCCCCTTCCCGGCGGGGGCGGCGGCGGAGGACCCCTTCTTCTCTGCACGTCTGCCATCTCACTGTGCGTTAAGTGCTGTACTTTCTGGTCACAGTATTTACTATTTACTCGTCTTACGAAGCCAATTTGAGTGAGACTTGCATCCTCGTGAAGCTGGGCCATATCTTTAGTTGGGCTTCACACAAAATTTTGGTTAATTACATAGTCTCAAGTACTATTTCATCCCAGGACCCAATTTCGACGTTACCGATAAAATCCTTCTTATCCTTCCTCTGTATATACTGTGGAATGCGTTGAGCTAAGGCTATATTTGGTAAAACTAGCTGATAAGCTAGCTGATAGTTGATAAACTAGCTTATAACTTATCAGTAATTTTTTAGCTTATAACTTATGACTTATAGCTGAAAAGCTAGCTTATATGATAAAAGTGTTTGGTAAAATTAGCTGATAAACTAGAAATTCAACTAGCTTATTTGGAAAGCTACTTAAGGAAGCTTATCAAATAAGCTTGAGCTTTTTAAAAAAGCTCGTCCTACCAAACGAGACTTATTTGAATACATGGAGCTTATAAGCTAACCAAATAAGCTATAAGCTAGCTTATTGGTCTACCAAACATAGCTTAAATGTCAGATGCGCACTTTAAAAAATGTGGCAACAAACATGCTTCATAGTTAGACTTGAATGTAAATTAATATTTTTATAAAATAATAATTAGGCTTGAATTGATTAAATATATATATATATATATATATATATATATATTTTATTCACATTAAATTTATGATTGATCTTTTCCTTATTTTCCTATATAATTAGTTACCCTAAACAATTTTACGTTTCTTTTTTCTTATGTTACCGTAACATAGTATTATATTTTATTTTCTTATTTAAAACATACACCAAGCATTATAAACGTGTCTTCTTCTTATTTTTTATATTTATAACTTTTTTCTTGTATTTTGTTTTTTTATATATGATATATCAAATTAATTATCTTTTAACGATTTTCGATTTGACATTCATATTGCATATATAAAATACAAAATAGTGATATACATCCTTATAAATAAATTTTAAACTGATTTACCAAACTAAATTAAAAAATATCTTTCTTTTTTTTTTCCGAAACGATAGAGATATTATATATAACCGAACAAATATACAAAAGTACAACCACCAGCTGAATACAAACAGCCAAAAGCTGAATACAATCAACCAACAGTTGAATAAAGTGGGAGGACAGCCAAAAGACCGCTTAGAGCCGACCCCAACAGGGTGATACGAACACACAAAACCACAAACACCAAAAAAACTACTAAACTGAAAAAACCCCAACAAGGTAATACCCGAGTGTCGGATCCCAACGGAATAATAAGGTGACACTCGAGTTAACCGAGGCCAACGGCCCAAACCTAAAAGACAAGACAAACACAAAAAAAACAAATACTACAAACACTAAACAAGAACACAAATAACTAAAATAAACTAAAAGCCCTTCCCCAGCAAACGAACTAGCCCAAACCAACAGTGTCCGATCGACACAAGACAATTCCAGGCCAAGAAACTGCTACCGAAATTGCAATCAAGCCAGTAGAAGAAACCAAGGCCCGAACCAATCTCCGAATCGACCCGTCTCCAACTGAGCGAACATACACCAGCCCCCACCCCAACCCCACCCGAACCCGTCTAACACCACTAGCCGAGCTCGGGAGAACCAGGTACCCCACCGCCTAACACCACTAGCCGACAGGGGAGGGAGGGAGAAGTACATTCCGCTACTCCAGCAACCACGGCGAAGGACACGCCCCACCAAGACACTGCCAAAGCCCCACCCCACAAATAGACCACACACCTCGCCACCGCAAATCGCCGACAACTGGAGGCCGAACTCCACCCGCAGCTCCACCGGAACTGGCGATGCCAATCGAGAGGGACCCGTAGTTCGCAGACCAGAAACAGATCGCTAAGGCGACGATGACCACCTGAGGACCTGCCGGCGACCGATTCGCTGACAATCCTCCGCCTAGGATCGAGCAACCGTCTAGAACCACAGACCGACCAACCATCTCCGACCACCCACAGCAGAATCCGAGGGATGCCAGTCAGAAGTGGTGCGAGCCGTTGAAGACGACCATTGGCCGGAGCAAAGCAGTCACCAGGGAAGGCCGGCTATCAAGAAATTTGAAGAAGCAGCGGATAAATTTTGGGGGTTAGGTTGAGCGAGAAGAGAGAAAGTTTCTGTATAAAAAATATCTTATGAAATAATATATCCTAAAATATTTTATAATAAGGCAAAGAGACCCCCTATCTCCCTACTCATTCATAATAATCACATAAGAGAACTCCCTTTGATTAGAAAAGCTAGTATGTTCTCAGGTTTTCAAGGTATTAAACTAAGCAAGCATTCCCCCAGTATTTCCCACCTGTTTTTTGTTGATGATGCTTTAATATTTTGCCAAGTTGATTCTTCTCATGCTTCTACTCTGCATAATATTTTGCATACTCAAGCTATTAATTGGCATAACTTAAACGTCTTTTTCTCTGCTAGTACTCCCGATCATATTAGATCTGACATCTGTCACATTCTTGATGGTATTGTAATTGCTAAATGCTCTAAGTATCTGGGACTTTCTATAGGAATGGACAGAAACAAGATAGATACCTTTGCTTTTGTTAAAGAGTGTGTGATTTCTAGAATTTTCTGGAATAACAAATTCCTTAATGAGGCAGGCAAAGAGATTTTAGTTAAAACTATTTTGAGTGCCCTTCCTGTCTATGTGGTGCCAGTATTTATAATCCCATTAGGAGTGTGTCAGGACATTTGCAGGGAATTAGCTAGCTTTTGGTGGGGGTAAAAAAGAGGAGGGTGAGAGCAGGATTCACTGGTCTCATTGGGGCAGTTTAGCTAAGCATAAGTGGGAAGGGGGTTTGGGTTTCATGGATTTAGGTGTTTTTAATGATGCTTTAATTTTGAAGCAGATTTGGAGAGTGTGCTCACAAAACCAAGCTGTTTAATGAGCAAAGTGATTAGAGATAGGTATTTTTTATGAGCAGAAATTCATAAAAATCAAGCAGTGATTCATGGATGTGGAAATGTTGGCTAGATGCTAGAAAGTCTTTAGAGTTAGAAATTAGGTTTCAGATGGATAACTGGCTTTCAATAGATGTTTACACCTCTAATTTCAAACCTCTGTGTCATTTTGCAGAAGACAAGCATCAGTTGCAAAAAGTATCTGATCTTATGGATGCAATGGATGCAGGGAGCAAGAAGTGGGACTCTGAGTTGATATTGCAATCTTTCAGTCCTTCAGATGCTGCTCAGATTTTGAAGATTCATATCAGCCATAGAGGCTCTAAGAATAAACTGATTTGGCTCCAAAGCAGAAAAGGTATCTTCACTATCAGAGAAGCCTACAAGGTGAGCATGCAGAATAAGAAAGAAAGAGAATGTAGTGAAGGACCAAACAATGATAGAGGATGGAAAATCCAACAAATCTGGAGGAAGACATGGCATCTACCAATCAAGCCAAAGATAAGAAACTTTATGTGGAGATGCTAGCACAATTGGGTAGATTGCATCAAAAAGGGATAGAAGTTGATACATTGTGCTGCTGGTGTGGGGAGCAAGAGAAAACTCTTGAACACTTATTTTTTAAGCGTGATAGGGCTCAAAAGGTCTGAAAATTAGCTCGGTTAGAGTGAAGTAAACTGCAGAAAGATTCTATTGTTTACCAGGATTGGTGGGAAGATGTTTGTAGCATGAAAACCAGTGTGAGAAATAAAGTTATGATTGCCCTATCTACTTGGCTCTTATGGTGGATGTGGAGAACAAGAAACAATTGGATCGTTAAGAAGGAAAGGATATTTGAACAACTTCTGGTCGAAGGTGCTAAACTAAAATGGTTGGAGTTTGAGAGCAATAAGGGGTCTTTGGAGCATGATAGGATTTTTAACAAGACTGGATTGCGACACGGAGTAGAGGGGCATTTAAATGCTCCCAGTGCTCGTGACTCAAAGCCAAGTTGCTAGGAAGTGAAAGGGTTGGCTTTTGCAGCTAAAGTAGAGGTGACTAGGTGGTTTGTTGCTTTAAAAACTCATTGTAGACATCATTGGGAAGGCACCCTGTTAAGTATCAGAGGTTGGCTGCATAGCGGAATGGAGCAAAGCTGGGAAAAAGTTGTTATCTTCTTAAGGGATGAGAACCTAAAGAAAGCATTGTCAGCCAAGAGTCCATTTGATTAGAATATTTATGTCCTAGCTGAGGACATTTTTTCCTTTGCTGATATGCTACACTCTGTTTCTTTTCTTCCTTTTCCTGTGTCTTAGCTTGCTTTACTTTAGCTTTCCCTTTGATTCAGTTTGTTTTTTCTTTGTCTTTTAGTTTGGTTTGTTTTAGTTTGGTGTTGGTTTGACCATCTTAGTCTTCTAGGGGAACTCTTCCTGAGTCTTCCCCCTCTTNATTCAATACAAATATACAGTCATTACAAATAACATATTAAATAATCAACCCCATAACTCCATAATTATCATCATATGAAATGAAGGTAACAATCAAAAGGACTCATAATTATGTAGAGATAACAAGAACTACCCAAAACATTTTCAAAGTTCACGAACATGATTGCATTTTTAAAAAATTCAACGCAAGTTCAAATAACACAAGTATTTGACTAACACTAGATAAAAAAGAAAAAAAACAATAAGGATCAAATCCCTCCACAAGGTATATCTAAATCACAATTCTAGACAAATAAGCATTTCATCTAGGCATATAATAGTCCACAATCATATCAGAAAACCTCAATTACATCAAACAACTATCTTTCAAGTTTTCCACCAAACTACAATCCTAAGAAATCAAGTAAACTTGTCCTAATCACAATGCAAGATAAAGCAAGATGAGAAAATAAAACAACTTAACCTAAAACGCAATGCAAGATAATAATACACGAGATAAGACACCTAAAAAACTACCTCACTTCACTACCATAAACTAAATTTTTCAAAAAAAAAAAAAAAGAATTAGTTTGAATGAAGAAAATGACATATCTTAGGTGGCTAACAAGTAGTAGTCAGCTACTGCTGAGGTGGCGAAAGGAGATTGCGTCCCGCATTTCGTTGAAGGATCTGAAGGATTGACCGGACGTCGATTCTTATTTCATTAAGGTCTACTCGCATCTCCGTGACATCAGCCCGGAGTCCCTCCTGCAACTCCGCCACTTCATTCCGGAGTCCCTGCACTTCTGAGTAGAGGGCACTCATCATCTCGTGCAAGTCCGAAATATCCTCCTCCATTGGTTGCTCGGGCTCGATTGCCGGGCCTCCCTCGAGGAGAAGATTCATCTCCTCTTCATCACCGTCATCTCCACCTTCAAATTCAATTTGGGCTGCTCTTGCTCTCGAATCTTGGGTTGATGGGAAATTATTGCCCACCTTTTCAAGAAAGAACATTTGGTCGTGAGATATACATTGTACATATCAAAAAAACGTGATTTCTCATTTACATAGCTGGTTTAGAATTCAAAAAACTTCATCCATGACTAGTGTAACTTAGAAAAAGGACTATGTGAAGCATTATATATAAGTAATCATATGATAAGTTTTACGTGCCGCAATCATCTTAAAGCCACCAGTATAACACATATCTAATCAGTTGCTTCAAGAACTTCATAAGGCTTAGGTCTTGAGAAAATCCTCTAAAGAGAATGGTTGATGATTTCCATCGTAATTTGGAGACATAGATCAAGTAGCTTTCAATTAAAACTAATGTAATACAGAAAAAACTATTTGTACACACTTTTTCGTGTATATCACTCTTGCTAACTTTCATGACTACTCGTCCCATTAAATGGTTCAGTATGAAAGGGCTAACTTTTAAATTAACTAACACAATAAATGGTTAAGTGTGTCAGATCACAATTTTTTTTTTTTTCCTTTTTGTATGTGTGTCGTGTGTGCACAACCAGCATTCTTATTCTTGTTCATATAATACTACAACGTCCTCTTAATGGAATAGCAGTATAAATACACATAAGGGATACTTGCAAAAACAATCTCCAAAAAAAGTAAAATACTGAAAGCATTTATTAATATAGCTCCCATTCAAAAATAATCAGAATTAGGTATGGAAGGAACCAAGTACCGAACTTCGCACCTTGCTGAATTCTTGACTTAAGTACTGTCCAACAACGGTTGTCTGCTGTATTAGCCTTTCCATTACCGAGTAGCTGGGAAGCTTAGTGTGTGCTGCAACATTACAAGAAAATAAGGACTATAAAAATTTATTATGATGAATACAAAACAGAAAGAAGTAACAGTAATAATCCCGAATGCTACAATTTTACAAGGAAAAAAGAGATACCCAGAATTGCTCTGTTTAAACTGTCTGCAATGTGCTGTCTACGTTCTAGGCTAAACAGATGGAACATTGGGGACTTCTCTGGTTCGTCATAAACAAGAAGACCAACACAGTCCTTAAAAAATAACAAATGTATAGATAGCTTGTTATTTTTGCACCTAATTAAGTTTAAATATATGAGAGTAACTTCATATATTAATAACAATAGCATACTTTAAGCTGGTCCACAAATCTCTGTTCTTTCGCAAAGGGATTCAACTTGGACTGAGCAAAATGTAAAGCATCATCACTGTGAAATATAAAAGATGGTGTCAGTACTAAAAAATGTAGCTGCTTAAAATTCTACGCAAAACCAACTTACTTACAGTTTTCTAGAGCACACAATCCCAATAAATTGAAGACTCAAGAGGTCAAAATGTAAAGTCTTATCATCATCCAACAAGCCAGGAGCAAATTCTTCTGTCAAACGGATGGCCTCAGACGCATTCCCGTCCAATGCCACATGGTATATTTCTGCAAATAAAGATAGAAAAGCAATGCCAAATCTACTTACGCCTAACATTTTTCAACAAGTGAACTATTGAAAAATTTTACACATAAAGTTGTTTAAAGAGGAAAATTATATGACATGGATATAGAAATACTCCAAACCCTTGAAATGGTAAAATCATTTCTCATCTCTTATGTCTACCCTCATTTTAATTTTTAGTTATGGTGGATTGTCTTTTTATATTTCAATCTCCTAAATTCTTCACTTTTTAGAAAGATAATCATGATTCTATGACATAGAACACAAACCCATTTACCAAAAGTTACTATTCATGGGAATATTTGATAGCCATGAACTTAAATAAGTGAAACAGTGGCTACTAGGTTGCCCTTCTCTGGTCACTACACTTGTGGTTTTCGGTTTTCCCATTTCCATGTTCTCTATCTTGTCAAGTCATTTACACAATTGCGTTTACAGGTTATCATCAGATGTTATCGTATCCCTAAGCATGTGTCGCGACCAATCATCTCATTATCCAACTAGGTATTTCTGTTGAGGTCCTTTCCATTCTAGGGAGTGAATATGTAAATTTTTTGTAACCCAGAAAAAAATAAATAAAGAAAAAAGTGGAAACAGGAGCAACATTTGGAATTGTAGTAAGAATGTATGAATTCAAAGAGAATGAAAAGAGAAATCTGATTATAGAAAAATGGTATACTAAAGAACACTGGATCAACAGGTCAAATGTCACATAAGGGCCACTAGAACTTCAAGAAAAAAAAACCACTGCAATAAATGTTGGAATAGCATGGGCAATGAAACAGAGACCCTTACGTTTCCTTTTCTCCAAATCCTCCAGATTACGGACGGGGTGCTTTTCCCCAGTACATGCAATGAAAGCATTCAACGTGTCTTCGTAGCAATTGTGCACAAGATATGATAGAATAATCTTGTTGATGTCATTATTATTCACGCCCTGCCGAGGAAATAAACAACACAAGCATGTTAATCGCAGAAATAGGCAGATGGAATAATCTGCTGTAAAAATACATGGAACCAGTTTGGTTGAACTTCAGCTAGTATATGATTCTTTTTTTTTTTTTTAAACCTTTAAATTATTTACATATACATAGTCAAATATGGGAAACTAAAGAAAAAAATATACCATCTCACCCAGATATATGGAGAAAGACCATCATATACTAGCAGAAAGATTGTGAAATCCGTATCGAGCAGGGTAATATGGCATTGGCATGAATTGCAAATGACAGAAGGAAAAATGAAACTCTATATTAGCTCAAGCATTCTTCTATTGTGTTAAATTTCAAACAAGAGGGCCATGGCTTACAAAGAGCCTGTATAACCAAAACAAACTCAAAAAACAACGCATATGATTCTAATAGTTAATGAGTTGGCAGTGCAGGTGAGGACTGTTGTGCTAAGTAGCTGAAAGACTCGGAATTCAAGAATAGATGCCAATCGAACACCTGTGTTTATGAGTGAGGAAATAAACACACATGTCCTCACCTCAAGTCAGCAGGATACCCAAGCCGGTGTTCCTTAAAAATGCTATATTAATAGGACAAAAAATTGAAACAGAGTCAAGAAACAAAAGAAAGCCCGTATAACAAAAAAAAAGTGTCATAGCTTCATGGTTTTTACAAGGAAAACTAAACTCTACTTGAACAAGTAGCATTTGGGACAAACAAACAAACATAAAACATGCATTGGATGGGAATTCTGACGGAAACCCACAAAAAGGGTAAGCAATGGAGATGACAAATAAATAGCGTTACAGAAATTCGAAAGGAAATTGAAAAAAAAAAAAAAAGGTGTCTTACAATGTTCTCATACTGCCGCGGGTCAGAATCCATCTTCTTCACTTCCCACAAAGCAATCTCTACTCTTTTGTTTTCGCAGGAAAAGAAGCAGAAAACAGTTGGAAAAAAAAATGCAAGAACCTAAAATATTTATGCACTACCGAGGCTTTTGGGTTAACAATTTTTTCGGACCTGGCCGCGAGAAGTACCAGTGGATCCGGCGAAGGCGAATCCCTTTTTCTTCACACGTCTGCCACCTCGTGAAATTTTGTTTAAGTCTTAAATTATTTCACTTCAGTGTAAAGACCTTTTTTTTCACGACAAAACTACCCCACCAATAGGGGTGAGACAAAATCGAAAAACCGAACCGAGCCGAACTGACGGTTCAGTTTTTAAGGGTTCGATTTTTAGTGCGGTTAAAATTTTGAAAAAACCGCACAAATTTTGGTGTGGTTCGATTTTTGTCCGAATAATGCGATTTTAACCGAACCGCACCGAATATGGTTTTTTTTTTTCAAATATGAAATATGTTAACATGTTTGTATTGTACATATACATGCTCATTTTGGGCCTTTGATTTGGGAAGACTAACATGGGAAATGCTCACATGCCCACGGTGACCACATGTTAATATTTTCACCGACTTATGTGGCATGCACACATTCGGTGAACATATTAACATCACCAATGTGTGCATGCCACATAAGTCGGTGGGCATATTAACATGTGCCCACCGTGGGCGTGTGAGCATTTATGTGACTAACATTAACAATAAATAAGTAAAGCAATAAATAATAACAATAACAATTAAAAATTAATAACATTACATTAAAATCTAAATTCTTGCCTTAGTTTTTCACTTTCAGTTCAAATCTTGGGCTTTGGTTTGGTAATGTTGCACATTAGATGATGATGATGTAGCTTCATTTTATTTTGTGTGTTTTTTTTTAAAAAAAAAATTGCGGTTAACTGAAACTGCACCGCACCGAACCTAAAATTTCGGTGCTGTTTCGGTTCAGTTTTTCTACATGTTTCGGTGCGGTTCGGTCTTGATAAATAAAAAAATTCAGTTTTCGGTTTTTTGCGGTTCGGTGCAGTTTTGCACGAACCGCACCATGCTCACCCCTACCCATCAACATCCGAAGGCAATTTCATTGCATATATATATTGCCCATCCCTTTATATATAATTGCCAGATATGTTGAGCATAAATGGTAGGCTCGCATGCTATTTGACAAATTTTTCAACTTAATTATTTGACTTAGATGAATTTTAATTTATTTCCAATTCAAAATTAACAAGGCTTGGAATATCTATAAATATTAATATCATTTTTTATTGTAGATGATTTTTTTTTCCAATCTTTTTTCTTCCTCATATTTCTTTTAAAATCATAACAAATTTAGTAACTTAAATTATAAATATATTTAAAAGTTAATAAAATTTTTATTTATTGACAGTTTTTTATATATAATATATCAAATTAATCATGTCTTTATGAGCTTCTAGTTCACATTTATATTATACATACAAAATAAATAAATAGCTTTACTATTTATTATTAATTCTAACAATAAAATTATTTAATTTAACTACAAAGTAGTTAATTCAAAAAATTATTTTGGAAGTTTTGATTATTTAATATATAAATTTTGTTTATTTGTACGTTTATAACATCATATATATGCCAAAGACAGTAAGTATGATATTTGTATACAAGTTACTTGCATGTACTTATAAAATTATATATTTTTTAATCTTATAATGTTATCAACAATTCATAATTTGCATATTGTTCGATAATTGACCAGTGTTAATCAATAAAATCTATCATTCTTTAGTATAATTATAAATTAATGAAATTATCTGTTTGATGATTAAATTTCAATTTTTAGTATCCGCTCATGCAACACAAAGGCGTCATGAAAAAATATTTTATCTATATTTCTTTATTTACTTTTTTCAATATATATATATAGTGAGTTAATTAATATATATTTAAATATTTACACTTACTATATATTAATTATCACTAGATGCCATGATTTCAATTTTTATACTTGACTTAATTATACTATTTACTCACTTTTATTTAAAAACTAAATAATTAGAAGTATAATATTATATGTCTTAAATCATTATTATATATGTATATAGAAATTGCTGATGTGAAAAAACTATAATTCTTGATTTCATAAGATCATCAAAATAATAGTTATATTAAATTATTAATATATCATTTTAATTCATCAATATTATTATCAACTAGTATTCGACCATGTCTATTTGCATATATATAAATAAAGTATTATCAGTTATTTATATGCATATAATATTAAAATTATAAGTTAAATAATGGTATTAAATTTTAAACATAGAATATTATAAGTTATATTTATGCATATAATATTAAAATTATAAGTTAGATAGTGGTATTATGTTTTAAAATTTGATCATTGGTTAAAATAAATAGTACGTAATTATTTGATTGCATATGAATCACTATATTGATTGCATAAAATGTAATCAATAATGTAATATTTGTAATTTTGAGAGATCCTGACCAAATAATTTGCTAAAAAATATTATATTTATTATAACAATTGCTAATGTGTTGTAAATATTTTTATCGGAGTAGAATCACAAGATTCGAACACCGGGTCGTGTCTCACGAGGAAGGTTAGCCGGAATACTTAGCACGTTTATTCAAGCACAGATAAAAGAAATAAAATTCCTAAACATTCTAATTCAGATGATTTGGTTTGATTATTAACTACGAATAACAACTTAAATTAAAGCAAATGGAAATAGTAAAAATTAACGCGTAGATCAAGCAGGATTTAAGAAGCTACGGGGTCGGGGATATCCGTTTTGGTTCGAGTTGTGACTATTGGGCAAGTGATCGTTCGGTTAAGTGATTTGAATAACCTGCTCGTTCAAGTACTCATCCTCAATAACTTTTCGTAACAAGAGGACAAACTTGAACGGCAAAATTAACAAGTCATTTAACACCTAGGCAATACAGTTACGAACAAGCCTAGTTTATACGAGCTTATTTCGACCGATTCCTCCCCTTTCGGTTCTAAGAGTCGATTAAATTAGACTAGAGGGTTGTTAACCGACTAATCAATAAGAATGACCGTTATTATGTGAGAATACATTGAATTCAATCGAAAATTGGAGATTGAAGTGTCACCCTTCAATAATTCTCAATATTCAAGCCTAATATCTGAAAAACTCTTTTGAAGAATAACTCGTACAAATAGAACGATCAATAAACCCCAACAATCACTAACGAATTCAAAACATTAATCCCCTATTCCCTAGCATATGAATTTAGCTACTCATGATCGATTCAACACAAACAATCTCAATCATCAAGATAGACATATTCAAAGATTAAATGAAAAGAAAATCTTACGAATGATGAAATCCCAAAGTTGAATCTGATAAACGGGCTTAAATCCAAAGCAATAGCAAAATTCGAGATTAAATTCGTGTTCTACGTTCGAATCGATAAAAGAAAAGTGAAAAAAATGAATGAAAAGAGAGGGGGATAGGGTTTTCTGTGTCTCGTACGTCGAGAGAATGAAAAAAAACTCCAAGAAAAATACTCAAATTCTGATCTAAATCAGTATTTATTGTTCTGCACGTCGCGACCTCCGCGGCCGCGACCAATCCTCCGCGGCCGCGGGATTTTCATTGCTGAAATTTGGGACCTGGCAGCTTTTCTTCGCCGCGGCCGCGGAGACCAAAATCTGCACTGCACCATCTTACGATTTTTGCTCGTTCGGGTTCGTTTTAACTCAGAATTGAGTTCCGTTTTTTTCTACGTGTCGCTAACGAACCCCTCTATCTAATGGTGTCAGCTTCCCCACAAGATTCTCGAAAACCTGTTCTCCCCAGGTCTTCAAACTACACACCAAAAACGAAAAGAGAACAGAAAAAGACCAGAAAACAAACGGAAAACATCGCAACACTCAAATGAACGCAAAACACATAATAAATGACAAAATGATCCTAAAACCATCTAAATGACTCAAAATGGGGAAAAAGAAAGAGAAAATAGACACGAATAAAGTAACAAAAATGGGACAAACATAATGCAATTTTAAGGAATTTTACTATGACATTAAAATAAATGAATTTATTTTAAAAAATAATCTCTCAATCAGATAAAAAAATATAATATTGATTTTAGAATAAATAACTTGAACAAAAAGTTTTACAATATAATTTTTTATGTTTATGTATTTTCATATATCTTTTAGTTGAACTTTCTCTCTCTAAACCTTCGTCGCCCCCAATTTCCACCGAAACCCTCGTCGCCGTTTCTCAATTTCGCTACTTTCCATTTAGCTTCTGGGTCGACGGCAGTCGTCCCATAGTCGATCGGCTCTTTCCCGTAGCTGCAACCTCCCTCGACTGACTGTGCAATTGACTGATTGTCCGCCCAAATCCACGCCGCCTATCTGGTGCTGGATGTGTCGCTTGGTCCTGTGATACGGCGAGGGCTGGGCCTGTTGTACCGGTGATGTGGTTCGGTGATGGTGCGGCTCAAAGCATGGCTCTACGGCACGGCTCTGCTGCTGTCTCTCGGGAGACAACCACCATGGAGCTGCGGTGGGTTTTGGTTGAGGGGAGGTTCTGCGAGAAAGGGACGGGTGCATCTCCGGCGGCTTGCGGCTTCGGGACGAAGTGGCTAGGGCTGCTTCTTCAGATCGGTTCCCTCTTCCGGTTCTCTGGCATGGGGCGGGATGCTTGCTGATCGGGTCCGAGTTGCTAGTGGTGTTAGTCGGCTCGGCTCGGTGGCGGCTGGGTATACTCTCTGGTGCAGGGAATTTGAGTGTTTGCTGTTGGTATCGAGTTGCTAGTGGTTTAGTCGGCTAGATACTGTGGCGGTTGGGTGCCTTCTGGAGTTTTCTGGCTCGGGGAGAATTGGCTTTTTGGGAATTTTCTGATGCTTGGGATTCAACTCAGCTAGGCAGTTTGGCAGTGGAGGGGTCGGCCTTCTCAGGCTAAGGGATTCCTCTAAAGTCGATTTGGTGCTTGTTGGTCTGTCTTGGATTTGCTACTGTGAAAGGGCTTGGGTGTTTTTTATGTTTAGTTATTTAATATTTCTATAGGTTAGCTGTGTTTGTTTGTGTCGTTTAGTTTCCTGTGTTTTTGGTTTGGGCCGTTTGGCCCCAGTGAGCCCGAGTGTCAAAATTTATTCTCTTGTTGGTAACAGACACTCGGGTATTATCCTGTTGGGATCCTTGTAGTTTTTCGTTGTGTTTTGTGGTGTTAGGTGTCAAGTGAGTCTTTGATTTGGGTTTCTAGCGTTGCTAGAGTCGGGATTTTAGGCAGTCGCCAGACCAGTCCTCCCATTTTATTCAGCTTTTAGTTGCTTTTTCTTCTCCCGTTGGGAGCCTTGTAGTTTTATTTACACTTTTGTGCGTTTTGGGTTATAATAGTTCTTCTATCGTTCCGACAAAAAAAATATCATTTAGTGTAAAATATAATTATTAATTCTAATAATAACTATTATATGATACAATAAAAAATACAATTATTATTCAACTAATAAAATGTAATGGTTTTTGTCTTACTTAGTGGAATCAATTTTTGGAAAGCTAGGTGATGTAGCAAATTATTTTTTTACCGAGTACCGAACCGAATGATTCGTTCCCCGGGTCGATCTCTTGAGGAAGGCAGTTTGAAATTTAGAATTGGATCGATAACACATGAAAGCAAAATAAATCTTAAACATTCTAATCAAAAGATTGGTTTGAATTAATTATTAACTAAGGAATAACATAAAACATAAATCTACCTAACAAGATAAACGACGCAAAGATAAAGAAGCCAGGGAGTTGGAGACAATCGCTTCCGGTTCTAAACACATTTAACGGGCAATCAAGAACTCAGTTAAAAGGCTCGACAAATCAACTCATTTAGCGGTTTACCCTCTATAACTCTTCGTAACAAGTGGATAAACATAAACGAACAATTAACTAAACAATTAACACATAGACAATACGTCTCAAAACATGTCTATTCTAAACGAGCCTAGTTCCACCAATTTCTCTTCTCTCGGTCCTAAAATCGATTAGCTAGATTAAAATGGTGATCAATCATCTAACCCTAGAATTCATACAACTCGCAAATATTAAGCAATCGACATGCACATAAACGAGAACGAACTGGAACAATTATTCCTTAACCCTAGCAATTGGAATTAGCTATATAAATCAAATTCAACAAAACCAAGCATTTCTCCCAAATAATAAACCATTATCATGAATCAATTCAAAGAGAAAACAAACTTACAATTTATTCAGTCCAAATATTGGATCTTCATACAAGCGTAATTCCTAAATATTAAGAACAAAAAAAAGGAAAAACGAAGAGGAAGAAGAAAACAAGAAGAAATAAGAAGAAGAAGGAGAAGAAGAGGAAGAGGAAGAAGAAGGAAAGGAAGAAGAGAAGGAAAAAGGAAGGGGGAGGCGATTTTCGGACCTAGGGTTCCTCCCCCAACCGAGCTTGGTGAAGAAAACAAATGGAAAGATTCCATGAAAAACGAGGTCTGGTCGCGTTTTTATGGCAGCAGGGGTTAGCGCCGCTAAGGCATGAAAGGAGCCTCTGTGATCGCTAAGGTGCCTTAGCGCCGCTAAGGAAGGTTGAGTGCGCGACTTTGCGTTTTGGGCTCGTTCGAACTCGAAATTGAGTTCCGTTTTTCCTACGCGTCACAAAGAACCCCTATATTCAATGATGCTTGCATGGCCAAATTATTCATGAAAACATGTTCTCCCAAAGCTCTTGACCATCACACCAAAGATGTGATTCGCGCGACTTCGCATTTTGGGCCCGTTCGGACTCGTCCAAGCTTGAAATTGAGCTCCGCTTTTTCCTAAATGTCGCCAATGAACCCTTCTACTCAACCATGGTTGTTCGGTCGATTTCAGACTAAATCTATTCATCACGGGGAGTTCGGCCTGCACACGAAAAATGAAGAAAACCCCGGAAAAACACACGAAAAACACAAAAAGAACCAAAATAAAAGAAAACACGCAATAATCAATAAAACGAACTACAAACACAACAAAGACCTAAAACGGAGGAAAAAGGAACGACAAAACAATAAGGAAAAACGTAACAAAAATGGAACAAACATTAGGTGTCACATAGGTATAATGTATGAGGTAAAATTTATAAGGTAAAATTATGAGGTTTTATTTAATAGCTTGCTAGTAAATTATATATTACCTTATAAATTTTACCTCATAAATTATAACTATGTAGCACTCAACTTTCCAAAAACTGATCTGTCAATTAAGATAAAAACTGTTACATTTTATGTTATTTGAGTATTATATTTTTTATTGTATCATATAATAGTTATTATCAGAATTAATAATTATATTCTACACTAAATGATATATAAAAGTTACATAAACATAAAAAATTACATTGTAAATTTTTTTGCTCAAGTTATTTATTATAAATTCAATATTATATTTTTTTATCTAATTAAGCGATTATTTTTTTAAATAAATTAATTTATTTTAAAGTCATAACAAAATCCCCTAAAATCGCATAAGCAATTTATAAGTAAAAAATATTTCAATGGTTAATATTTATTAATTGCATATAAATTTTTCCCCTCTGTCCCTTTTGCCCCTGGTGCTTGGGCCGAGGGATGGCCTGCGTGAAGAGTTGGGTCCGTCGTGTGGGCAGAGCTCGGAGCAGTGGTGTTGTGGTGGGGGCTGTCCAGTTTTTCTTCGGCTAAGGGGTGGGCCAGGATGCGGGTTTGAGTTCGTGGGTGTTAGTCCCAATTAGGCGTGTGTTGCAGTTTCTGGATATAATACTAGGGGCGAGAACCGGTCCGTAGAGGTGGTCGGCTTGTGTGTCTTGGTCGTAGTTTGCTCGGTGCTTTTGGCCGTCTGCAAGAAGGGCCTGATTTATTTTTTGTGTGTTTAGGTTATGATTGTTGTTTGTAGTTTTTAGCCGAGTGCGGAATAAATCCTGACCTCGGGTCGTGTCTCTCGAGCAAGGTTGTTCGGAGCTTCGTTTGTTATCTAGTCGTTAATTCATAAAACCGAAAATAAGATCCTACACATGCTACTCGCTTGATTGTGGGTGATTTGATCTTAATTAAGCTAAGCAAATGAAAACAAATGATGAACGATTCAAGTTTTGAAACAAAGATTGGAATTTTGATTGACCGGAGTCTCCATAACTTGACGAAAATGAAAATAACAAAGAGAAAACATGCGAGCAAAGCGATCCTAGGTAATCTAACACGAGCCTTCTAACTAAATCATCCCGCTTTGAGCAAAGTCGAGACATTTACACAAGATAAGCACGTATTGAATTCTAACACACTTGAACAAGCAATGAAAATAAAACGAAGTCCTAAAATCGAGCATCACACAAGATTCTGGCAAAAACACAAACTCAAAGCAATAAGTCCTAATCAAGGTACTTAGCCTCCTATCGCAAGCTCGGACGAAAATAATGCGTAAAGATCGAATTTTAGATAAAAATAAAGTAGCCGAAAAACTTGTCGGAAAATATCAAGTCTTTGACCACCAAATCAAAGCATAAAAATAAAAGAGAGAAAAAGAGTTAATTTCCCAACTTAAAGCGTTGCGAAATGAGGATTGATGTCCAAAATACAAAGCACAATGTCTATTTATAGCTACACCACAAACACACACTAAAAACACATACATTTAGTGAAATTTGAAGTTCGCCGGTCTCGAAACGGGTTTCGCAGCGAGTGTGTAGTATGCTTGAGGCTGGCAGGGTGCGTTCGCCGCACACGAACAGGGTTTCACAGCGAGTGCCCGTATTTCTGCCTCGGGTCGCCTTTCGCTGGTTGCGAGAACGGCTTCGCTGCGAGTGCTGGAGTTTGGCAAGTCTGGCACGGGCGAGTTCGCGGCACGCGAACGCCAGTTCGCAGCGAGTGCTGGAAACTTGCTAGCGCTCGGGCGCGTCTCGCGGCTCGCGAACGTGACTTTGCTGCGAGTGGCCTGGGGCGCTGCGGCATGTGGCTCGCACGGTCACGAAGATGATTTCGCTGCGAGTGGTCGACAGCCTTGGAGTTGGTTCTGAAAGGTCTTTCGCGGGCGAGTGCCTTGTGCACGGTTGCGGCTCGGAATTCGCACGGGATGACTTGAATAACTCGTCTCGGAATAACTCGCACGGGATGACTTGAATAACTCGTCTCGGAATGGCAATATGAATTGGTCTATTATATAGATACATATAAGTTGGATTTAATGAAATTTATTAACAAGACAAAAATCGATCCGACTTTTTAGGGTATTAACCACATCACTTTTACCCGGTCAACCGCCCACGCCTTCTGGAATTACCCTGTCAACTCCTTTTCCAAGTCAGTAAACCCTATCAAAAAAATTCATGGACAAACCAAAATACAGCCCATAGTTGGTAAAAGTCCCCGTCGTGGCGCCGATGTCGTTGCACACAAGAAGTCAAGTTCTTGTATCCGAAAAATCCAAGCAAAGGACAAAAGTAAGCTCGTANGAAGAGATGAATCCAAGTGGATCTCAAAAGACGTCCAACAAAGCTCGCGAAGATACGTAGAATAATGTATTCAATTTAGTGCAGTTCGATGAAAAACCACACCAAACCTAACAAAATCAAAAACCAAACTTATGAAAAATTATAACCGCACGGCACTACACCGCAATGTAAGAAAAACCAAATCGAAAATCGAACTAAAAACGTTTTTATTAAGAGAATCGAAAAAAGAAGATGACGGAAATGAACTTTTGCAGGTTCGGTTGGTGGGGGTTAACGTGCCTCTACAAAAATTGCCAGACTCTAGTGGGCCCAACACAAAGTAACCAAGTGATAAACTATCACAAGCCCAACAGTAAATTTGAGTACAAAATTAGAATTTTATTGGCCAAATTAATAACAATCGCCACCTTAGGGGGCGATTGGATATAAATTGAATAGTGAAAAAACCAAACAAAATTCAAATTTAACACAACTTTAACTCAACTCCACTATCTTCAATATTATCAATATAGTTAACTAATATCAACCAATTATTCTAACACATCACATCAACTTTAATTCACTATTCATCCACTCACATAATTTTAACCAACAATCACTTCCAATCATTTTTCTCATACTTTACATCAAATCAATTTTAATTATTTTATTTAAATATTATTTTAATATATTTCACTAATAACTAACCGTACCATTTTTTTTCAAAATTAAATATAGTTAAAAAAACAAACAAAATAAAAACTAATTGAATCTATGAACATCTTTTTTTAAAATTAAATATAATTAAAAAACAAACAAAATAAAAATTAATTGAATTCTCGATTTTGCTTACCTACACTTATCCACCATCTCATTATTTGCTGAAATCATGGTAAAACATGAGATTTTCCCACATCGATTTCAGTGAAAAATGAAATTGAGGCACATTTATCTATGTACTTTTGGATTTTTCTATACGAACAGTCCCCACAGCTATTTGTATGTTTCCAAATATAATTTCTCCAGCCCACCTGCCCTCATCAATCATCCCCCACCAAACAAAACAAGATTCCAATTTTAAAGCCCCTCACTTTTCCGGTTTCCCCTCATTTTCTTAAATCATTACTACAATTTTAGGACACTTTTAAATTAAAATACAATATTCTAAAAAATTAATAAAAAATACTAATATTTCAAAATATAGAATGCAATTTTTTAAATACAATAAGTCCTTTCGTCTAATAATTAAGTACATATTTCTGTTGAAAAAATATAAACTGTTGAAATATAACAACAAAAATTTATGTGTTTTTCAAAATATTACCTGTTGAAATATAACAAAAAAATTTATGTGTTTTCATTTATTTTTCTTTTTCTCGTTTATGTTTGCCACCCATTTTTCCTCCTATATAAATGAGCCCACTACCTTACCCCTTACAAACCTCTCCTCTTCCCCTTCATTATCTCCCCATTTTCCTTTTTTCAATTTCAATAATATACTGTTATTCTGCTACTTTTTAAAATCTGCCTTTGTATTCCCTATATATATTTATATAATTAATGCTGCGAAAATCAATTTTGATGCTCGAAATTAATTAATGTCGCCGGTACTCAGCGAAATCCTCCGGTCCGGTTTTCAGATCGTTTCCTCTCTCCGGCGAGGGACTCATCTCGTTCAATCCTTGTCCGTCGTCTTCCTTTACTGGTTTTACGTTTTCTCGTAAATCTCTCCACCCAAACGCGTGCATAAAATATCCTTTATTGTCCGGTTAAATATACAATTTCTGTTACAAAAATTGAATGAAATGGCGTCGTCGAGCGGAAACTCGTCCTCCGGTTCGCCGCCGGTTCGGAACTCTGGTTCGTACGGGGATCAGCAGAACCTGCGGAAAAGGAAGCGGATGGATTCGAACCGGGAGTCCGCCCGGCGGTCCAGGCAGAGGAAGCAGAGGCAGCTCGACGATCTAACGGCTCAGGTTGCTCGGCTGAGGAAGGACAACGGTCAGATCTCGGGCAGCATAGATCTGACCACGCAGCACTGCGCGCGCGTGGAGGCAGAGAATTCGGTCCTGAGGGCGCGGGTGGCGGAGCTCACACAGAGGCTCCGATCCCTTAACGAGATCCTCAATCTCATGAGCTCTGCCGGGGCCGACGGCGGCGGAGCCGCCGCCGGAGGGTGCGTTTTCGAGGCGGAGGGGTTTCCAGGTCAGGGGTTTGGAGACGGGCTGTGGAGTACGGTGGGGTTTAATCAGGTGCAGCCGATCATGGCATCGGCTGAGATGTTGAATTATCATTGATTTTTCGTTTTGGTTTGGGATATATTTGGTGGGATCATGATATTGCAGAGTCTTTTTTGTGTTTTGGAGGGTTTATTGTGGTTTGGAGGTGATTAATAAAGAGTTCTTTTTTTTTTTTCTCGAAAGACAACAAAGAAATAATAACTCAAAATAAAAAGTCTTAACCACGACCAACAACTGGTTGGGAAAGAAACCAAACCGATCAACAAAGAACCGCGAGGGTTCTCAACAGGGGACATTAAAAACTGTCCTCCTGCACAGCAACCATGGCTACCCTAGAATTATAAACAACAAGACTAGAAGCAAACACAAAGTCACAACAAACCAAATCACAGTTACAAAATAAATTTTGAATATCCAGCAGGAGCTTTGAGCACCTTCCCTGATTACCTGCCTTCACAAGAAGATCTTGTAGGCTCTTTTATTGTTTTATTGTGATTGAAAGGGGAATTGATGATTTTTATGACATGAGAATTTCAGGAGAGCAAGTCTAGTTTCGCGTCAAGAAACATATGCTATCTTGTGAAGAAGGCCGAGAGTCAATGGTGGAGTAGGCTTCTAAAGCAAGAGGGAAAACCCCCTGCATTTCTGAAAGTTGATTAAGGCAAATGGGTAGATGAAGATAAACAAGATGGATAGCATAAGTTTTACATCATCGAGTTTGTTTGTGTGTGTGTGTTTGTGTCCCAACAAAGTTACATCACGACTTTTGGGCAATAGCCCATAGTAGATGTATTTGAGTTGATTATAGATGATTGTTCTCATCTTGAGAACGGATATAAATGACAAGCTTGTGTTTATCTGAGTTTGGCTACGCTAATAGACTGATGCAAGTTTACTGCTTCTTTTTTTCAGCTGGTGAAGATATGGACTTTGGCGACTTTGATTTATCGGCGAGTAGTTAGACTATATGTTTCCATAATTAAACGTTCAATGCACAAATGCACCTACTTGTGTTTGGTTGATTACAGTTTTAACATTGTTCAATTGTTTTCAGAAGCTTAACATGGGTGGAGCTGGGGATTTTGAAGATGACATTCCAGATGGCGATGAAGGTAAATTTTCATAATCGCCAGTCGACATAAAACCCCACAAAAACTTACATTTAAACTCTCCAATTGGGGAAAAAAAGAAAAAGAGAAGGAAAAATAAAGTAAAGAATGAAAATTCGATGTGTTGCAGATGATGAGAGTGATACTGATGATGAGAATAAGGGAGACACAGACACTGCTAATGGTGGTCATGAAGCAGCACCTGCTACTAACACTGAATCTAAGATGAAGGCTTGAAGTGGGCAATGACACTTGTGCTTTCAACATTGTAACCTGTGTGTTGCGTGCTTAATAACTATGGCTAGCTAGAAGTTATTTGAGTGTAGCTTAAAAGTTCTCTTCTCCAATGTCTTTATGGGAAGTTGATGGTTATTTTGGTTTCAATTGATGCTTCATATTTGTGCAAAGAGAAGATGTTTTCCTTCGGGTGAAAGGATCTTTACAATTTTTTGTGGCTGGTCATCTTTTTGCGTNGAATTTAATGGTTTATGAGGTTTTCCAAATATCCTGTAAAGCTATTTTAGTACCCCAAGAGTTGGTTGGTTTGTGGTAATGATGATGTGCTGTTGGTTCCATTTAGGGTAGCTCCTATTTGATCTCGTGTTTTTTGTTTACTAAATGAGCCAAGTGCTCGGCTCGTACTAGGCTCATTTAATAAAAAAAGTTTTAAATTAGTTATTCGTGGATAATTTAAAAATTTAAAAATTTTAAATGAGTTGTTCGTGAACATAAAATACCCGTCCGTAAGCAAGTTTGGTTCCACTATATATTTAAAAACCATAAAAAAAACAATCTATTCATAGACGAGCTTGATAATAAATGAATTAGATTATTTCTTTGACTCACTCGTTTGAGTCAAAGAAATATATGTTTCAGTTCCAAGTCCAGTTCTGGAGAACTCACGTTATCTTGAAGAGCCTTTTCAGTTCAAACAACAGCCTTGTCTCTTCAGTAGACAAATCATCCTGTACATATTTCAATTTCAATTGAAAGGAGCAAGTTTACTTTTCCATAAAACGATGTGGTGAAGGGAGTAGTGAGAAATAGTTTGAGTGAGAGGAAAGTGTCTAGTGATCTTCGGAAAAGCGCATATATAAATTCATAAATATATGTTTCAATTTCTGACCTATATATATAATAAGATTAACATTTATTAAAAATGTTATCAACATCTTTTGGACAAGAATTGATTCATACTCATTTTGGAAACTATCTTCTGATAATTCGGATCAAATTCATACTGCACATAATATTTACAAATAAACGTGTTGGAGCCTAAAACAATCTGATTCACTTTTTAATTGCTAAATTCCAAAAAAATCAGACAAGTCAAATTCATACTGCACATTAATCTCGTGCTTAAATATGTTTACAAATAAACGTGTTGGAACCTAAAAAAATCTGATCTTGTGCTTAAATATGTTTATAAATAAACGTGTTGGAACCTAACAAAATCTGATTCACTTTTAATTGCTAAATCCCGCTAAATAAGTTTACACAAAAAAAAAAACATATTGGAGTCTCATAAATCTGTTTCAATGTTTCAATTTTTAAAAGGTGTGGAACTTAAAAATTATGATTCAATTTCTGTTTCAATTTTTAAAAGGTGTAGAACTAAAAAATTATGATTCAATTTTTAATTGAACATAAATCCCAAGCTCAAATAGTGGAGCCTCAAAAATATAAATCCCAGTTCAAATAGGATTCCTTAAGAGTCAGGAGAAATACAATAAAATATAACTCACGATGAGTTGGATTCCAAAAAATTGAAATCTGAATTATTCTATATATCTATATCTATATTCACCTATCTAAATACTAATATTTTTTATTAACACTTATAATATTTAGATATTTTAAACATTATTTGGACAAAGATTAAGGAGTTATATATATACATGGAGGTTAAACTTAAGTATTTTTAGACATGTTTTTCTTAAAGAATAGTTTAGAAAGTGGCTTCAAACATTTTTCAAGAATAATATAGAATATTTTATATATATGTGATATAATATTTTAGATGTCTTTAATATATATGTATATATATATAAAGAGAATAAGATTTATCACATATTTCTCCCCAAAAAATATTAAATACATACAATAAAAAGTTAATAGAAAAAATGCAGAATTAAATATTGTCTTCAAATTTTGTCTTATTGTTAGTTATATATAAAATCTCATTTTATTTGTTACAGTTTACATTAATCTGGATCTATATTTGTAAAACTAATAGATTTGCATAAATAAAATCTCATTTTATTTGTTACAGTTTACATTAATCTGAGATCTGTATTTGTAAAACTAATAAATTTGCATCTAAAGCGTGAAAGTGTTACACGTACAAAAAAATTTTTAACGGTAACAACTTAAAAAAAAAAACAATTTTGAAATACTATGTACTCAAATTTTGGGGAGTACAAATTTTTTTTTAACGGTAACAACTTAAAAAAGATAACAATTTTAAAATATTATGTACTCAAATTTTCGGGAGTACCGTCATAATTCGTTATCATGTCAATTATTATTTTATATATATTAGGTAAATTTTCTCTCAAAAAATTTATAATGCCTTTATTTAGGTAGTATTTAATATTGTCTTTATAATATTTTAAAAGAGGATAATAGTAGTTCCCCACTTCTTTCATTGGGTGATTCGAACTCAATACCTATTTATAATTATTATTTAATAGTATTTGTCAGTACACTCACTAGTTGGTAATATGCAAAACAAATATAAAACACACCTTTCGCAACTAGGCGAAATATCACGGGTGGTTCTCAAATTATGTATTTATGATGTATGGTGAGCAATGAGATGCATGAACTATAAATAGACAAACCTTGTAATTTTCTTTGACAGCGTCAAGTGAGCTTCTACTGATTTTGCTCACAAGCTCATCCTCCATCTCGAAATGCCTGCCAAACATCTTCTGCTTTTCCTCGGAATTGCTGGCAATAATCTATGAGGAAAAATAGCACATCTATGTTAAAAAAAGACAACACAAAAAGAAATAGAATAAATAATGAAATGAGCCATTGAGCACGAATAAATTTCTATCAGTAACAGAGTAATAACAAGGAGGGTGGATGTTCTCACAAACGTATAAATTGATGACTGACCCAACTGATCATAGCTTTAAAGACCCAGTCTCAAAATTATTCACACTGTTAAGTTGACTGATTCACCCTAAATCAAGGCTCTAACATAAAATGATGTATTTATCCCATGGTTTGATATTCTAAACAATAAGAAGAAGATAGAGTTGAGCAAGTTCTCCAAGGTCCAGTAGAAAAATTATCTTAACATGTGGTATCCACTGTCCATGGTTGCACATGGAAAGATGGAGTCGACAGATGTTCTCATTCATCTAAGAAGAGTAAACTATGTTAGAAAACTTTTTCTGAGATTGTAAAAGTAACTCGTTGCCATTTAATTCAACGCATCTCCTACAGTATAAAGAACAAGCAGTTTGGCAACTAAGCATCACAAAAAAGTCATATATATATATACCTCAATGGACACCTTCTGGCCCTTCTTGGCGTAATCAACAGGCTTGTTATTATTCTTAATAGTAGCTATCCGACCAATTTCAATGAAATCTTTTTGAGGAACACATATAGGAGTCCCAACCTGTACGATGGGTTAATAAAAAATAACAGTTCAATAGAAAGGAAACGTATATATGATAGCAATGGCCGGAAAGACCAAAAATTGTGAGAATAAAATATATGGAAAATTGTTAGATGGATAGAGGCCACAAGTAGAAATTCTACACACCTCAAATATGCAACAAAAATATAAACATGCCCATTGCTGAAAAAAGAAAAAATCAGCATGCGGGCATAACACATGTCATGAACACGGTAACAAACAAGAGACACAGAGGGGAGCAGTATACAACATTGGAACAAAAGCATTCTTGTATACATGGTTTTTATGACTCCAACATATCACCAAAAGAAACACTTATGTCACCACCTAATATTCGACATTACACAATGTCAACACCTAATAAAAAAAACTTGAATTTGGTTTTGGGTGTTTTGATTACATACTCTTGAGAAATATTAGAAACTACAGAGCACCAGGATGGAAATGCAGTAGAGGATATGATGCAAATTAGTTTTGTTTCTGAATATAAAGCCATCCAAAGTGAATCCAACCATATGCAACTTATGATGCCAACCACCAATAAGTTATATCCATTGTTAAAACCATGCAAAGGACATCCATGTACAGAGATTAAGAGAACATATTACCTTCACTGTGCCTTTAAGGACATCAACTCCCAAGATAATGGGATCCTTCGTGTTGAACACATAGTTTGGCATTATCTTGAGGACACATGGAAAAACTGCTTCTTTAGAAGCCTCTTTCTTCCTCTCTTCCTTGAGATTATCAATGTAAGCCTTAAATTGATCGAATAAGTGGTAAATAATGTCCGCATCAAATATCTTTACACCAAGCTCATCAGCTAGCTCCTGAGCTTCTTTGGTTACTTTAACATCAAAAGCCAATATTGTCCCATATTCCTTTTTCTTCTGAAGCATCACACTCGCCTTCATTACATCTTTCTTGTGTACTGGCCCTATGCTTATGCCACTGACAGGTATATTAACTACCGGAGTCTTCAAGAACTCCAGCAATGCTTCTAACGACCCAAGAGTAGACGCTTGAACATAGACCCCCTCACCACATTTGTCAATTCTACTCATTACTGACTTCATATCTTCCATAACTGCTTCTTTGATGTTTTCCAAATCATCATGTGGCCCCACAACATAAAGACTGGTCCCTGCAATTGTATGCTCAAGGTCCTACAAACATAATAAAAACACAGGCACCAGCTCATACACTGAAGCAAAATTAGCAGAAGAGACAACTGAAAAACAACGTTATACATCCTAATAAAGTAATACAATTTCTTACTCAGAAAACATGGCAGTAACACAATTCACAACGGAAACAAAAATTTCACATAAGTCCTAATACTAAACACTTCTATGAGGTCTATAAAATGTTCTGGAAACAGAGTTCCAAATAGTAGTGAATATTTCATTCCTGAACAAGACATTTTTCTGTTAAATTATCCTATACCTTCAGTCAATCGTACATAACTATCAAGGGCAACCCATTATAGCATGGTGGCAGTGTGTTATCTTGCCGTTTATTTAGTAATTAACAATATCATGTGATCATGTCTACATTGGTAATATTAAGGTCATGCCTTCGTAAGGACAATAAATGCATAATCAACGGCAAAGGGTCACCTGGGCTGTGATCTTGATACCCTGCGCAGCCTTGATTTCTTTATGATGCAAATAAGACCCCTGAAACATGATAATGGCAAAAGCATGAGGCATTACACAGAAAGAATGTAAGGCTTCGTAAGAGTAACTTATGAGATCAATTCCAGAAGTATGTTATAGTTTGCATCACAACAGGATAGAAAGTTGCAAATAAAATGATTTAAATATCCATATCAAAGCATTTTTCAAAATCAACTATCTTTATCAACCATTGGCTTCCAGCGAGACGAACACGATAGGTCAAAAGCAAATTCAACACTTCCAAAGCTTCTATGCAATGTTCCTCAAAAGAATCCCTATAACAGAAAAAATGGGGCTCCAGAAATCTTAGCAAGTGTTCGCAGTAACCCCCAATCCACCCACCCTTCACTACCAGCAAATGAAGGGAGGGAAAAGAGAGGGAGACTCCTTTCTAATAACTCATGTCTAAATCCACGTAATTACATTAACAAAATTACAACCAGGAATGAACTTGATCAAAAGAAACACATATTAGCGAAAAATACATACATGGATGACCAATACTATTAGCATGATCTTAATGTTTTACCTTCACTCGGAGCTCCTTCATCGGATGTGGTTTTGATAAGGCTTTAATTGTGGTCACAATTGGTCCCTATAAGAGATTTAAAGCAGGATGAGCGTGATTATCGTCCTTGCACAAATAAAAAAGTAAAAAAGAGTCGTTAGAACACATGCCTGCAAGCCACAAACAACTATTTGATCTCCTTCATGAAGCACGCCATTCACCAGAACCACATCAATTGTTGTCCCATGTTCTTTAGTAACTTTGACCTCCAAGACAGTACACTGCAACAGAAACCATTGTAAATCAGCAAAAATATCTCACAGGGTTGCCTCCCTCACAATCTCACTACCAATGAGCTAATAGGGCGGCATACCTGCACTTCACTACTGTATGTAAGTCTTTTAATCATTTTCTTCTGTGCCCATTGAATCAGCACGAACAGCAAGTCAGGGACACCTTCACCACTGTTGGCCATAATTAGCAAAATGTGAGAAGTATTGGGGGACTTTTAAAGAACTTGAAGAGAACAGAAATAGGAAACAACAAATAAAAAGTTATCTAAGGCAGTGCTTCGTCAACAAAACCTTTTAGCACTAGTGGGGACGATTTTGACTGTTTCACCCATTTTTTGGTTCTCGTAATACAACTCAGTATTTAGACCTTGAATCTGTAACTGATCTTTAACCTATGAAAAGCAGAACACTTCCATCAAATAAATTTCAACCATACGAGCTAATATTCAAGTCCGAAAGAAAAAACNCCTTAAGCCGTTGAATAAACTCAATATCAACATCTCTTGTCTGTTGCTCCATTGCTTTCCGTATTGGTGCATTGTGGCATGTTTTCCATCAATACAATGATACAATCTGTCCACCTACAAGTCAAAAGGTAAACCAAAATGACATTATCACAAAAGGATTGCCATGAAGGCAACAAATGGCTCCAAGGTGACTTACTTTATTCAAGGCTATTATGAAATCAGTATTTCTCATCTTCAATAGATTGAGAGATGCAATGGTTTGTGGTTCCAGCCCATGCATTATATCAACCACCAAAATCGCAAGATCACATAACACTGACCCTCTGGATCGCATATTAGTAAAGGATTCATGACCAGGTGTATCAATCACCAATAGACCTGGGACATTCAGCCTTGCATCAGTGAGTTCCTTTGTTCTCTCATGAATGTTCTCAGCAGGGAAATAGGTTGCTCCAATTTGCTGTGTAATCCCACCAGCCTCACCTTCTTGGACATTAGTACCTCTTATGCAATCAAGCAATTTTGTCTTACCACTATCAACATGGCCCATAATACAGCAAACTGGGGACCGCAAATTCTGCTCACTCGGGGCAGGCTGATTATCTGACTTTTGACGTTCCTCTCTCTTGTCAAGAACTTCTTTTTTGTCCTTCTTCTCAGGAACAGGAACCTTATTATTGTTCCTGTGGGCATCCTCAGCCTCAGAGTTCTTTTTTCTAACGTCCACATTCTCAGATCTCTGTGGAATCACTGAAGCAACATTCGCAGTTATACCAACTGTCTTGGCTGCAACGTGCGGTACCTCAACATCTCGAGTTGAAGCACGTGCACCCTTTATCTCTTTCTTGGGCAAAGGTTCAGGCTCCGAGTCAACTTCTTCATCAGCAAATGCACTTTTTCCTGGCAATTTCAGATCAGCATCATCCCAGCTTTTAGCATCCCATTCTTCGTCATCATCTTCTTCTTCCTCCTCCTCATCCACTACATTCTCTTGAACTACATCAGAACCATAATTTTTAGCAACGTCCTCAACATTCTCGCTTTCCACGGTATCCAGTCTGGATACAATTTCTTGCTGGTTCTCCTCTGAAACTGCACTGTCAACACTGTCTGATGTGGCTGCTCCATTTGATTGACCTACTGGCTTTTGCTTTTTCTTCTGATATAGAGGTCGTTTGGCAGGTGCCCCAACAGTTTCTCCTGTGGATATTTGCAAGTTAGCATTAGCTAGTATTTGCTTCCTCATTGACTCTAGCCTAAGAGCTTCTTCCTTCTGCTTCCCAGTGAGAAGCTTCCCTTCTTGCTTTTTCTTCAGAAGCTTCTCCTTCTCTCTTTCTTTCTTTAAGCGCTTTTTCTCTTCTGCTATCCTTTCCTCCTCTTCCTTCCGAAGCCTTTCCTCCTCTTCTTCCCGTTTTTTCTTCTCCTCAGCTTCCCTCTGTTTGGCAAGTCGCTCCTGCATCTCTCTAACATGCTTTGGAACTTTCTTACCAGCCAATTTACTTTCCTCGGCTTTGGTCTCTTTCTGTTTTTCAGCGGCAGCAGCTGCTGCCTTTTTCTCCTTTTCTTTTTCCTTCTTCTTTTTTTTCTTCTTTGCAGCTGCAGATTCCGCTACCTTGTCTTCTGGAGGGGGTGCAGTTGGAGCATCCACAGAAGCTGAAACATGTTTAGACTCAGGAGGTCCCGCACCAAATTCAGTGAGGATTTTATCCCAGTCATCTTCTTCTTGACCAGTTTTCCCACCCTTCTTTTTCTTCTTCAAAGTATCCGCAACAGCTTCATTTGTCTGCTTCTGAGTTTTAGGTTCATCAGGGTGTTGATTCGGTTCAAGGGAATCAGAGAGGTTGCATTACCACTCCCAATTTCACAAGTCATGTTCTTCTTTTTACACGACTTCTTCTTACCCGAAAATTTAACTACCGAGACATCTTGCTCCTGGTCATCATCATCACCTTCTGCCGTATCATCCCCAATTTTTGAAACGGAAGCATCCTCATCATTTTCTTCATCAAGCACAGCCGCAAAAGAGTTGTCGAGCAACTCGAATGCAGAAGATCCACCGCCACTGCCCTTCTTACTCTTTGAAGGCTTCTTCTTCTTTCCAGAAAATTCAATCACCGGCTCATCTGCTTCTTCATCCTCGTCACCATTATCCTTCGCCTCATCATCATCCCCATCTTCATCATCTCCCAATAATCCAAATGCCCAAGCACTAAACACGCTGCCCTTCTTGCCCTTAGCCTTCTTTTTCCCAGCAAACTTGTTGCCAACTGGCAGCGCCACACTCTCTTTGGGTACAACAGCATCCTCCGAGATTTCAGTTCCAATAGAATACTCATCATCTGCAATTACAAAACCCTTCTTCTTCGATTTACCTCCGCCAGCTGCCACTGCTGGGGCACTCTCATCGTCACGGCCGTTTGGCATCTTTCTCCCCATCAGACTATCTTTCCTGTTATTTCGACTAATGAATTGACTCCCACAGTTTTTTTTTTAAGAAAATCCTGCAAAAACCACAGCAGGCAAGCAAAGACAAATCCGAATGATATATTTTTTTTTTCTTCTTCTTCAAATAAACTAAAAAGAATTGATAAACAATTATCAGCCATCACACAAGAAACACAAAGGTAATCATCAGATGAGACTCACCTCTAACGATCGGACGAGAGATGATGAACATGAAACTATGGAGAGGAGTGTACGTCTGTATAATGGCGAGTCTTGGATGTGGAGAGAGGGTTGGATTTCTGTAAGT